CCTTTACTTCCTCTGTCCAAAGGAGCTAGAAAATCATCCTTTACATGAAATATTTAGCATTTTTATGTATGTTTTTATTTACATATATATATAGACAGCAGCTTTCAAGAGAACCTTCCTTAAATGCTATTCATACACATTGCTTACAAACACTTAAACTTTATTAAGGCTGAACGTTGAGTGCAGACCTGTGGATTGTGACTGACAGCTGCAGGGCACACAATCACAAGCAATAGCTAAACACAGAAGAAATATTTCTAAACAAAGACTTTGAGTATTTATCTCAAGAAAGTATAACAAGTGTTCCTTTGAGCAATTGAACGTATTTCAAATAACATTTGGCACTTGTGCTGTGGGTGAGATGTGTAACTCAACATTACCTTGGTGGAGGTAGCTTTTACTTTTTGTGAAGAGATCACACATCCTCTGGGGATGCACCAGGTCTCACAATTGAGATGCACTGCATGCAGGACAGCTCCTTTTCCAAAGGAGAGCCTAGCTCAATAATGATGACAAAAGAAACTGCTCAGCTGCATTCGTTACCTCATTTTTCAGTCTAAAGGGGCAGAAATAAAAGGTCCACAGACTGTCCTCATGATTAAGAAGATAAGCCTGCCCAGAGAGGAGGATGCTGCATACCAACGTGTCAGCCACGGGCATATTTCATTGGCATGCTTTTTAAGCAGTTCTCAAGCAATCTCAGAATCCCTAAGAATATGCAAAATTAAAGATGAATATTAAAAGGTACTAGAAAAGCACATCTTGGCATTCAGGGTTTGTCATAACCTACCATCACAATGTAGAATGCTATGATCAAGCCAGCAAGGGACTAGAATCAAAAGTTATCCACTACTAAGCTTTATTGTGCAGCCTAAGCAGATTCTCTCAGGAGTGATTTAAATCCCCTGCATAACTTTATTAATTATCTGGAAGATGATTTATTCAGATTGACTCCTCATAATGTAAAAGCATATTTAACACATGAATTTATTCTATTTTAAATGAATTAGTTCAGATAAAACTGTAATGGTTTTATGCTGGTACTTTGACAGAATTAATAAACTTGGATACTTTATCTGATTAGCTTTGTTATCTCCATTCTTCACATTGCTTCAAGGTCAAGATCACAAAGTTGAAGTTCTTGAAGTTAAGCCAGTCTATCATATAATCTTACAGAAAAAATAAGTTTTGATTTAGATAGTATATCCAAATTCATTACGCTAAATGAGGGTCTGATTTGCAAGTTAAAAACACTTTCAAATTAGGTAACATTTTAATAAGTCTAAAATGGATCACCACAGACGTGAAAATCAGGGCTGTGTTTTTAATGCATATGCTGTTGTTTCCCAGTACAGCAAAAAGAAAGAAAAATGACATTTTAAAAAACAGTTTAATCATTTAGGGATAATAGCTTGTAATAATTCCAGCTGCTCTTTTAAGTGCATATTCCATATATCAAGTTGCAGTGTCATGAATTTTGTTGAAACATAAGAAATCTAGTCACATGGAGGTACTGCAAGCCAGACCCCTGCATTCTCAGTTCTGTAGTAGTTTCACCCCATGGACAAGTGATTGTAAAACACGTGTTGTAGGTCTCTCTCCATTCCTGGAGTGGGAGAACTGGAGGTACAAACCCTCTAGACTTGAGACAGCAGCATGCCACTGACCATGAGATTTCCCAATTTCCTATCAGATATCAAGCTGTTATTCCACATTAGGAAATAGGACAGAAAAACATGTTTTGCTTCTGTGGCATATAGATTTTTTTTTTTTCCAGCTGCCTGTTTATGAAGTCACTTTTCCCTCTGCAGTTTCAAGGGACTCACTGCTGCAGACTTAAATTTACTTAAGGGAAAAAAAATTAGCAAGCATATACAAATCTTCTCCCAACTTTAATAAAACCCCAGCTTTCAAGTAAAGCAGAATTATGCAGTTCCATCTCCTTTGTCTTGAAGGGAAACTGGACAAGAAAAAAAAAAAATCTTGGCGATGGAGGGCACAGAGAATCATAGAATGGCCTAAACTGGAAGGGACCTTAGAGATCATTTTAATCCAGCCTCCCTGTTGCCAGGGACGCCACCTCTCGACTAGATCAGGCAACACACGGGGACCAAACGGGAACACACAAAGTTGATCCAACTACTTTTACTTTAGTATCTGAAGGTGTTTAGCATACTTTGTAATCCTTTATTTTGCCAAGCTATGTCAAAAAATAATAATGAAGTGTCACCACTTTACAGCCACATGACGTTTGGGTCAATGAGCAGTAAGCTGGGCTCCTACCTAGTTTACCCCTAACAGACAAGTAAAACCTGGGCATGAAAACAAAAACATGCTGAAGCAATTGTCTGAGCAGTAAATAAGCCTAAACTAAGCAGACACATGTTGGTGCTCCTGATAGGCCCAGCCAAAATTTAGACACCAGATTAGGGAAGTTCCTAACTATGTTCCTTTTGGTAGCCTTGCTTATAAATTGACCTGACACATTTCAGGAAAATTAGAGATGGTAGCTGTTCATATCTGTAAATATGTTTGAGGCATAACTCCATCCCAGAGAAGCTAAGCTGACTGCAGGCAAAGACCACGAAGAAGAAATTGTAAAAACAGCCAGAATGTTTTTTCCAATGCTTATCACATCGGAGTTACTCGGAACAGTAAAAATACACCACAGCTACCTCCTAACCAAAGCCAACTGAAACATCTGCAGTCCTGCCTTCCTCCTGGCAGTACTTCCCCCTAAGCAGAGACTGGTATGGCAATCAAGTCAGTTCACTCAGTCTTTTAATGAGCATCAGTGAAAGGCTATTAATTATACAAGCTTTCATGTTATATATTAACTGGAGCTGGCCAAGTCTTTCATTAAACCATATCAGGTAAAAAGTGATTCTATGAAGTGCTGTGTGGAAAAAGCCCAGCAGCTGTTGAGCACCCAGCAGATGATGCTGCACTTCACCAACATATTTCAGTTTCCACGTTCAGCTCACGCTTTTTATGTCACAACAGTGCTGTTATTCAAACAACTTGGGCTAAGCAAAGCAAACTCTTCATGCAATGCACAAACCATTCAAAGATGGAACAAACCAGACCTCCAACAACAGATACTGGTTTTCTAGAAGTCTTCAAGCAGTCAGGTCTGAAGCAGGCAGGCTACAGAAATAAGCTGGCACCGCTAGTCCTTTTCACCTGCATTGTTCATCCAGGCCAAGTACTAAAGCTTCTGTGGTCACCTTCGGTGGGGACGATAGAGGTTACAGCTAAAGCAAGCTCTGCTGCAGCAGGATAACAGATACTGATGATTTCCAACTTTAGAATTCTACATCTAAACAAATCTGAAAACTCATGAAGTCTCATAAAAGACCCATTACTTTAGCAGCTTACTCCTGTGTGCTTAAATAGGCCCCTGCATTTTGCTCAGGGCAAAGTACCATTTTAGTCTCCTTTTCACAAGATTATGGGGTTCACCCCATGCCAAAAATATTTCTGCTGTCTATCCAACAGGATCTGCTTTCCCAGCCTCTTCTACAAACGCCTTAACATACTTCTGTTCTGGATATCTTTCATAGTTATGCCACAGTGTACTTATTCAGGAAGCATAGAATGTGATGTAGTGTCTTCAGTGCAGAACTTGAGCCAATTAACTGATTCTCAAGAAATTAGTTACAAATGAAATAGGACAACTACAAACATGCTCCTTCTGAACACAGTTCATGACATTATCAGCTTTTTTCCCTGCACAAGTAAGCTTTTTCTTTACATTGTGAGAAACTAGTATTACCTTAATCCAGGACCTACTTTTAAGCTTTGATGCTTTTCAAATCAAAAGGTAGAGAATAAGCAATGTAAAGACTCACCAACAGCAAGGGACTTTTTTTTTTTTGTGTGTGTGTGTGTGTGTGTGTGTGTGTAAAGTTACTCCACTTATTAGAGAAGTCTGAGGTGTCAATTCAGCAACTGAGGAAGCTGCTTTAAACACAACAACTGCTATGACTGGTTACCCTGTATAACTAATTGCTCTCAGCATACAGATGCCCTTCACGTGTTCAGACACACCAGTCCTGCCCTATGCACACACCGCATGTTGGAACAGAGTAGTTCCACTGTCACTGAAAAGCGGGAACCTCACAGCCCCCCGCCCAGTGTTTATAGATGCTTGGTGCCAGCAAGTACTGACACAGGCATACGACACAGGTGTCAGACTGCAGCCCAGCTGCAAATGCAAAGTTTAATAGTACCAGATTCTCTTCAGCTATCAGCTTCCATGACAAACCAAACAAGGCAGAGAAGCTTTAGAAGTTTTATGGTGAGAACAGAAGACTCCTCCCCGCCTCAGCAGTCATCCACTATTAAAGACCCCAGATCCAGCAGTGATGGACAAGACATTCCTGCCCTCTGCCCCACCAAGGGAGGAAGCATCACATGCTGCTCACTTATTTGCTGGGATACAGAACTGCAGTGTACTTCCAAGCAGCTCACACAGCAAAGCGTCATCACTCAAAATACTTACCTAGCTTAGCCTGACAGTCAGGTAATTCAGAAACCTTGAGCCAAACCCATTCAAGATTAGTACACATTTCAGAGGGCTTGTATTTTGACTTAATACCAGAAGTGCTAGAGTTGAATGGTTCCAAAAGACAAAAGCTGGACATCAGTCAGTTGTTGCAATGAGTGATGCTCTTCTCTCCCAACTTATGACTACAAATTCCACCCACTCCCTTGCAGTATCATCAGTTGTGCTACAGTATGATGGCCTAGCTTACAGAGACAACATTTTGTGAGCTTGTTTTCTCTTGTGAGAGCAGGATTTAGCAATATTTGCTTCAAGTCAGCATGCTGTTATGGAGTCGGAGCCAAAGGAATAAAAACAAGGATTCCCAGGCAGTACAGTCTGTGTGGCCATGCTTCTCATTTGTCCCCACAGCCACAGAAGAGTTCCTCCCAAGCAACGTAAAGTCACTTCCCCTCCCAAGTCGTTATTTAATCCTTACAGACCAAAAGCCAAATTCTAGAGCATGATCATTTATTGTCCTCTTTAAGAAATACAAAGGCAGCTTTACAAAAAGATGGCCAGTAGTTATCACCACAGTGAATTTCGTTATTATCTAATTCACTAAAAAGTGAAACCTGCAGGCAAGTATAAACTGCGAGAGACAAACTGCTCCTCCAAAACACTCAGCAAGACAGATGCCTCCCTACAGCTTGAACATGTTCCAGTATAGCCCCATAATCTGTCACCTTGACTACTTCCAGGACATATCCAGGAATAAGAATCTTAAACCTGGCTGACACTTCTGGAACTGATGTGGCTGCTTAAACACCTGAGAGCTAACTGTTCCTCCTGCTTTACAGGAAAAAATAGATGAATACAGCAAACCACAACTCTGAAGTGATACAGAGGGGAAAAAGATGCAGTTCAAGACTGCTGGCCAGATAAAGAATAGTCTGTGTCATTTGAAGTAAGCATTTTTAAAGTATTATTTTTGGTATAGAATCTTTTGTCAAGTGGAATTGCATGCTTCCCTCTCCTCCACCAAAGCAGTGGAGCGTCAGGGGAGCCACTTAAGACTTGGCAATTGGCAAGACCTTATAAGAAAATTCAGACTTCCGATCCACACACCAGAAGGTAAGGTGTCATAACTTAGTCCTTCAGCTGGGAGACTTCATAGAGGTACGCACCAAGCATCTTCACCCCCTGAATGTAGTTGTACCTGTAAAGATGATGCTTCCATTAGCATTGTCTTAGTTTGAGCTGTATTTCTACTAGTTGTGCATTCTGCAATATCAGTCCTACGCAGGCAGGAGAGGCTACAGGCACTACTCCCAGCCTTACCTAAATTTCCTCTGGCAAGAGAAATGCCACCCTTGGGGTAGGGAAGAGCTGGGAGATGAAAGTATAAAAATGACTTCTGGTTTCAAGTGTATAAAACCAGAAGAAGCAGTAATGAGATCAAGATTCAGCTACAGATTAGTCACCCACCCAGTCATCCTCTGCCAGGGAGAAATGGTCCTTTGCCTTCCAGAGACTTAAAGAGCAAAAGCCAAATCCCTCTTGGAGTGACAAAAACCACAGTACAACTTAGCCTGGCACTGGGATAAATATTCTCTTACCTATTTAGCTTCTCATTTTGAGAGTGGGCTCCATCATCTGCAGCTCCAACAGGAAGCAGCATGACATTCTTGCCTGTTGCTTCTTGAAAAGTAAGGGTAACTGGAATGCTTCCTCCTTCCCTTGTCAGGTCTGGTTCAACTTCAAAAACTAGAACAAAGGGATATTCTAGTCAGTTTGGAGTTGTATTTTGCTTCTCCAAGACAGATCCTTACTGCTGCTTGCGCAATCGAATACCAACCACTTCTTTTACATGGGCTGACCAAGTTTTGCTCTTAAGGATTGCACGTGACGTGCTTCCTTACTTGGTAATAAGCATTACAAAAGTGCAGAACACTGCAAATATGACAACCTTTGTACTTCTTGTGGTTCTGGAAGAGGTTTATAAGTCCTCTCAATGTCAAGTGAAAAACACACTGACCTGTCTTCATGGCCCTCCGACCAGCCACATAGTGGGGATGGTTGAAGTCTGACACCCAGGGTTTTCCACCATGGCCTAAGTATACTCTGAATTTGTTGGGGCTCTGCAGCTCTGCAAACTTCTTGCTCACATAGTCTTCAACCTGTAAGAAAGAGTGAAGTTATCTACTGTTAGGATTGTATAAACACTGGTTAACACTATATACTAAAAACATCTTACAGACTTTCAGGTCACTACTAGTGTGCAGCAATGCTCTTCCTATTATTATTATTTTAAATTATTCCTATGTATCTCTGCTCCAAAGTCAGGATCTTCTTTAGGTAAGTTAATGGTATACCGCAGAACAGCTAGCGAGTGTCCAACCCTCATGCTTTTGAAAATGCACTTCTGACAATCTGAGTGCCCTACAATTAAATTAGCATTTACTCCTAAACCCTTTGAGTTGGTTGACAGAAACTGAATAGTCAGGCCACAGTCATCCACTGTGGGACCATACAGCAACTCCCTCAATTGTCTGAGGTCAGGTGCAGAACAGAGAAGGTGGTAGAAAAGTAAATAACCAAAAGTAATTTGGAAATCAGAAATACTCTTGAGACCATGAATCCATCTCAACATACATGCTTTGTGACTTCTTCAGGAGTCATGTTTGGTACAATCCGGATTGAGAACTTGCCAATCACTTTCCTAGGAATCACAGTCTTGGCTCCAGGGGCTGAGAAGGCTCCTTCAATCCCATGGAGAGACAAGGAAGGGTATCTCCACCTATGCATAAGGATATCTTTCTGCAGAAGCAAAGATACAAGGTTACATGAAGTTTGAGAGAGCTCCCCAAACAATTTCTTCAATCTAACAAAGGCTTTACAAGCAAGTCCTTTCCCATGGAGAAATACAGCTCATTTAGGACAACCAAGTTACAAACAGGAGCTGTTACTCCCAATTAAGCACATATTTTGATACAGCAGTCGGGGTTTCAGCAGCCCAAGACATTCAGTATCTCCAGAGTGGCTTTCTCCTAGTTCTATGGATCTTAAAGGACATGACTAGTCTGCTTCTGACGAGGACACAAATACATAGAATGTCTTAGGCTGGAAGGGACCTTAGATATCTAACCCAACCTCCCCACCATGGGCAGGGATACCCTTAACTAGACCAAGTTGCCCAAGGTCTCAATATGTAATTTGTTACCACTTAATCCTCCCCTTAACTGATACCATTTAAGGTGTCCAAGTGCAGCATGTAGGAAGTGTATTGAAAGCTCTGAGGCACACAGTGTGCTCCTCCTTCTATCATCAGTTGTATTAAACTGCCTGAACTTCAGGTTGATTAAAAGTGAGCATTATTGCCTTTTTCAGATACATTTCTGCATTTCTTCCTTGCTGCCGTGGACACAGCTGTTAGGTACACTGGATACAGAATTCAACACATTTTTGTCCTCTATAGCCAGCTACAGTATCCCAAACCCAAACTTCACTGCAGAAATTCAGGAGACTGAGAAATTTTGTGACCTTCATGTTAACAGTTTGTTTTGTTCCAGGTATAATTTGCCTCTAATCATCTCTCACAGCAAATTTAACTGTCACAGTTTAAATCTCCAGGTGAAAAGCAATGTGCTTGAGATTTCAGCCTTCTCTCCCATCTCTCTCCTTAGCCCCAAGATCCTTCCTGCATGCACACAGCTTGGTTAGAACTCCCTTGGTGAGCTAAGCTAGGATTTCAGTGTAGCTAAGACTGAACAGCTTTAGTTCAGTATCATATACAAAGAGCACCTTGCCAGCTCCTCCTTATATGCACGCAAGCTTTATTTAATTCATTACTTTATAGGACAAGGCTAAACAAGGAAGTCTCTCTGCTCTCAGCTGAAATAAACCTGTGCATGTACATGTAAAGACAAGGTTGAGGATATAAAATTGCTACTTATAACTATTTGAGTCTGAAGTCTCCTCCTGACAGCACTATAACAGAAAACAGACCTGCACATGTAAACTTGTCTTTCACAACAGTTGTTTCTGCTTTTTATGGTAGATGTATTTATATCTGAGGTTTAATGCTTTAAAATTAGTATATAATAGCACCTTGCAACATTCAATGCTGTTAAAAGAATTCACTTCAGAAGTTCCCTGGACAAAGGACTGAGAAGTTCAGACATGAGTTTACTGAAGTTGAGCCTTTTCAAAGATTCAGTTGGTTGTCTAGTTCATAGCTACAAAACAGCCCTTGCTTGTCAGGTCTAGGAAGACATTTAGTATGTCAACAGTATGTTCATCACAGCTAGATTTCAAGCTCTCTTATCATCTACTAAGTCACCTCTGTGAGCAACTACTCCACTTCTGATAACCCACTAAACTTCCTACAGATGTAGGAAATCTGGTGCTCTGTGTTGATGTGGTATCTGACCTGTGGAAAAGTGCTAGCAGTTCTTATGTGGCTTTAAGGGAACAGTACTAAACAAATTCTGTAAAAGTTTGAAATGCTACTTATACACAGACCAAGGAGCATTTATTTAAAAGTTGACTAAATTGCTTGCCTTAAGCATGGGATAACCTACGCTAAGTTTCCAAGCACCTAACACTTTGCGTAGGAACTGTGTTAAGTATGCAGTCAACTGCACAGTAGATGAAGTTATCCTGAAGGCAATCTCACCACCTTAAAAGAAACAGATGAATTCTCTGCCTACTAAATCACTTGGTAACTACTCAAGTATCCACAGAAGCTTGTCTTCTACTTACAGAGACAGCTTGAACTAACACAGCTAACCAGGGCAGGGAGGTAGGAGTACACTGTACCTTTGTATCATGCAGTAGTTTTGTTGCTCCTACATCTTTTGCATATTCATCTAGGTCAAAATCAATCTTCTCATACAGTGCCAGCTCCTCATCAGTAAGTGGTGCCACCGCTTCATTAATGCCTGGAATGAGGATTTTCCCTTTCTTGTCTATAAGAGAACCTGTAAACAAGAAGCATCTAATATCAGAATTCAAACAGAAGAAACTAGATGTCATTGCTGGCAACACTTTCCACAGGTAACAAATACTTGCTTTCTGAAAACTCTGTAAATCTAAGCAAATTCTGACCTCTACTTCCCAGAGCCTGTACTACTAAGCATGGAATGCTCTTACTGAATTTGCAGCTGTTCAAAATGCACACTTCCTTGAGATTATACTTAATTCCACTGGTATATTTTTGCTCGCTGTGCTGTTGGAAGGCAAGATTTCCAAGGAGCTGAATATGGCATCCATGGAAGGAGTTTACAGAGAAGACTTTTAGTTAACATAGAAGTTTGGAACAAGATTTTAGGGGATGCGAAAGCAGGTAAACAGTTTCTTGGCAAGACCATCATATTTCTGTACCTAAGGCTGTACCTCACATACCTGGAAAGCATTATTTCATCAGTCATTGCTTTGCCAGTTTATACAGCCCTACAAACCCCACTCGCTGCAAGCTCACTCACATTTTAGTGGGTTTTATTCCCATTTTAGGATGAAACTTGCTTTTTCTTACCCATTAGAGTAATGAGATCTGTCATGGCCTCATGTACTGAGCCACCATAAACTCCAGAGTGAAGGTCTTTGTCACTACATTCCACCTGTTTTGAAGTAAATTAAAATTCAGGTTAATTCTAGCAGGAAGATACTGTCAAATGCACAGAACAGACTTGTATCCTTGTGTGGGAATTTCTGAACACACAGTGGAAAAATATGACCAGATCTTAGTAAAACAAACTGTTTGATATGTGAGGACCTTGCTGAACATCTGGAAGATAAAACTGGACTAGATTTGAGTAAAAACAAGCTGTTCTGAAAAAGCCACACAGCATAACAGTTGATGAATTCATTAAAAACATCAGGCTGGGAAACTGCATGGAAGCCTATGGACATGACTAAGATAGTCACAAGGACAAATGTATCAAGAAAAACAAATAATCCTGTTTGGCTTTATAGTTCAGATACAGAAAACTGTATACAAGCAGCTCTCTGGGACTCTCACATGCTCTCTCACACACACACACACACACACACACATTCATGCACAACTTTGCTTCTGCTTTTGCTCCTGCTGCTACTTTGACAATAAAAGGCCTTGCTTTCAACACAGACCAGAGGCTGCCATCTCCTTCATTGCCGCACCCTTGCTCTTTGATGCACATGTTTTGAGACTGTATCTCTTTCTGAAACCAAACCAGACAGTTGTAGTACATTAAAGCAGATACACTTTATATCGCTCTGTGGAGCCCTTAGTACTGACTGTCTCAACCTTGGGGACTTCAGTGGCAACATCTCCTCTTGCATTCAAGGAAATACCTGGATGAAGATAGCTATGCCTGTCCTGCTTTGAGCTAAATAGAACCAGTTCTGTTCAGTGAATTTTACTTCTCAGCTCAGTGTCTTCTTAGAGACTGCACTTTCTGAAGTTCGCAGCATGTTTTTGCAGACAGTGTGTGCTACTGGCAGTGATAACACCTGGTGTTTGCAGTTACTGCCTGGGACTGGGATGCAGAAAGGCTCTTGCTAATATTTATTCCTGTAGTGACCAAGGCCACTGCTGGCTCTTGTGTGCCACGCTGGGGGTGCCAAGAAGTAAGAAACATCACAAGTAAGTAAAAAGTTGCACCTCCAGTGAGTAACAGACAGGACAAGTGACCAACAAGAGTATTCCATTCCATATACATCATATTCAGCATAAAACTGAGGGGCTTTAGGTCTTTCCCCCCCCTCCCCCTTTCCTGCAACGGACAGCATTCAGAGAGGACTCCATCCATGCTTCTGCCTTTGATCCCAATCCAAGCTCCTGAATCCAGCTCCCCTCTGCCACTGAGCCTGGGACTACCTGGTGCCACTTCCTCTGCAGCATCAGTGGGGATTGCTATCAAGGAGTGGAAGGAAGTCAGGTTCGATATCAGTTACCATTTTTATTATTTCCTTATTCATTAAAGCCATTTTACTTTTTCTCCAATCCATAAGTGCCTCTACTGCATTCCCTTTTCCTTCCCATTAGGGAGGGAGAAGGGGTAAAAGGGTGTCTGTCAGCATTTAGCAGCCAGCCCAGCCCTAACCCACAAGAATGCCATGAGACAATCCTCCAGTGAAGATGCTGGCATATCTTGCTTCTCACATAAAGTTACCCCTCCCAAGCAAGTATCATATAGAAGAGTAAAAAGGTGTTTAGAAAATTAGTATAAACTGTTCTACTTAGTTTCACCTTTTAGAAGAAAAGCTATTGACATGCAAAGTTGGAGCTACCACTCCAGTAGAAAATTCAGTTTAATACTGGTTTCTCAGCACCTACCTCTATAAAGTAGTAGCAGACACCTCTCAAGCCATAGGTGATACAAGGCTTCTTCTTGCCTAGCCAGTAGTTGTCAGAAATGCAAACATAATCCACATCTTTGAAAAAAGTATCCCGCTGAGCAAAAATCAGTTCATCAAGGCCTTCAGATCCTGATTCTTCCATACCCTCTAGGCAAAACTTAACATTGACTGGAAACTCCTTTGAAAAAGAAACCAAGAACAGATCAAGCATGTGAAAACACTGGACTCCTTCAGCAACCAGTAATTTCAATCTGTCATGTACAAAGCAGGAAAATGTGTAAATGAGTTGTACGACAGTGAAATTATATACAAATTATTACATTGAGGGCACTTACACCACCTTTCATTTGATGGAATTCAAACTCTTTGAAAAAGTCTTAACTAAGCTCTCCAACAACTTGCTCCCAATGCTCTTAGCTGTGGGAATGCATCAGAAATCTATCACCAAAGGTAAGTTACAGGGCTGTGGAAGCTAATCTTAACCACAGATATCATGCCACAGGAGGACAGAGCTAACCTTGCCTATCCAGTCTCTTATACACCTAGACAGCACTTGAGACTGGTAATTCTCAGACATCTTGAGCTACTTCTGATTGCTCTTTCTTGAAGAAAGGCAGCAAAGCTCACAGTTGAGTGTTACTAAGTTAATCTCTTCTTACAGCTCAGTGGCACTGAGACACTAAGCTTTGCTAAAGGCCAAGCTTATATGCAAGTGATCACATTTGATTATTCCTCCTGCTCCAGATGCTTGCTTCCCACACATTTTATTTAAAGCAAAAGTATTTAAAGTGCAATCCAAGCATCTAAAAAGCTAACTTGTCAGCAAGTCAACTCAACCCTTCTGGGACACAAGGGAATTTACAAGACTATTGCATCATTCCTGCAATAAGCTGAATAAGCAGACTTGCCTCACAAGGGTTAGTGGCTTGGATAACATTTATTGCTAGACTCGGCCATATGGGAAGAAAAAAAAAAAAAAGCAGGACACATTTTAGGCACATACCTGGTTAGTTTGCTGATAAGCCTCTAAAGCATTCAGCCAGGCAAGCACTGGACCTTTATCATCTGTTGCTCCTCGCCCATACAACTTTCCTGTGGAAACAAGATACAAATTAACCAGTGTGGAGGAAAACTAGGATGAAGCTTCAGTTCTCTCTTGTCTGCAAGGCAAAGCATCTTTTTGGATAAGCATTCAAGCCCTGCTTATACCAACTTTCATTTTTGATTCATCTCAAGTAGGAGTTTTACATGGGTGCATGAGATGGGACGTAAGTGGGAGAGGTACAGGAGAGCAATCATTATCCCACACACAGAGATAGCCCACCTTTTCCCCCAGCTGCTTCTCTGGATAGGAGTTGAACATAAGCCTGGAAAAGATGCAACTGCCTTGGGCTACATCATTCCCACAGCCTTGACAATAGAATTTTCTACAAACACAGCATCAAGGGTATAGAAGCAAGTTACCTCTTTTTAACAGAAACTTATCCACTATTAACTTCAATTCAATAATTTGTTGTTTGGTGAGTAAGAATTCAGTAGCTACTGACCAATCACTGTTCTGGATTCTCCAGAGAGAAGTGGATCTCCCTAGAAAGGACTTTAGTAAAAGGCAAGCTTTACAGGCTAGAGGGAAGTCCCAGGAAATGTGGGATCACTACAGAGGCAAATATTGCTGCAACTCAGAGCTGTGGCTAGAATCCCCAAGCACCAGGTGTAACAGAACAGGTCAGACAGCTTGCAAGTTAAAGAGCCATTGGTAAATATGTCTCCTACACTGCAAGGCTGCTCAAAGATAAACCACAGCCTGAGGCAAGTCTAGCTCTTGCTATCAGATGAGAGAATCCAACTCAGTAGCTGGACTCTGCTGCCTCTGACCAAGTGGTTAAGCAGAAATACCAGGTACCACAGATACCTCTTTTCCTGACAACGATTAACGCTTATGCAACAAGAATGGTTAATGCCCTTCTATTCATATGACCTCTGACACTCAACACTGATCAAATGGAACAAGGAAGAAACTATCAGTAGCACCAGCTTTAAACAGAAAAGTAGTATTTAGTCTTCTCTTAGCTACTGGCAATGTGTTGTTTCAACAGGAGTTACTGCACTATTTCTTCATCACCATTTACGAGAGAGGGACACTTGTCTGGGCATAGCTCTGTAAAACAGTTTCTGCAGGACCCCTTGTAACACCGTATGCAAGCACAAGGCAACTTGGAGAGGCTGCTGTACTGCTCCTGTCTCCAGGCATAAAGCCACCTTGAGCACTGGTCCCCTGCACCACTTGAAAAATCCCTGCAGTCTGACATGACTTTGCAGGCTGCAAGCTGTGAATAGCCCAAGAAACTACCTCTAGAAAGATTTCTGGCAACAAATTGTTACCATGAAAGGCAGCAGTTGAGACTTTGCTCTAGTTACAAGAAAGATAACATGCAAGTACCTCCTAGACTATCAGAATAGAAAACAAGTCCTGACAGCAGCTGAGATTCTGCAGCTCTACTTGTTTACCATTTCCCCTCCTGCATATTTTACCTCAACAGCATTGACTAAACACCCACATGTGTTCTTACTTTCCTCTCCCCTTTCATTCAAGAGTACAACTTTAGAACAGCTGAGAAATGCCACACTTGTTCGAGAGGTGCTTATCAATCTCAAGTCCACCACTCTTACCTTCTCTTTCTACCAGTGTGAAGGGCTCACTGTCCCAGCCATCCTCTAGCACTGCTGGCTGAACATCCAGGTGACCATAGACACACACAGTCTTTTTGCATGGGTCTGAACCAAGCGTTCCCAGAACAATTGGCGGCAGAGGAATCTCTGATCCATCAGGCAGCTACGAACGGGAGGCAAGAGGTTTTCTTCAAACATGGCATGTCAGAGTGGCATATTTTTATCAGGTGAATGAATTACTTTAACACTACAGACATTATGAGATTAGGGGCTTAGACAGCTAAACAAAAATAAGCTACTTAAACTGACTGCCACAAGCAGCGTGCCAACAAAGGCATGACAGCACTACACTGGCAAGTTTTCTGACAATTTCCAATAATAGTAAAAATGGCGAAAGCAACTCAGAACAGTTAGCTTTAAAGTAACAATCCCACATCAGATTTTAGCAGAGCAAGCTGTCTGAATGCCAAACTACCATATCTAGTGCTGACATAAGCATAAGTGATAAACTCCATTGAATATTGCATTTTGCATCGCTTGGCACTGCACTTTCATCCCATCCACAGTATATAGCTCTACAGACAAAAAAAAAAATCCCTGACAGTGGGATCACTAAGTACAACACATGCCTACACCCAAATAAGGTCAGTGTAACAGCTGTATTTCTCTACACCAGCCTATGCCATTAAGCGAAGGGCAGCATAGTGCCGATCAGCTTGGTTCAAGAGTTCAAGAGTTGAACTTGCCTTAGTCCTTCGGAATACCCCACAAGCAATTATCACATGCTGTCCCCAGTCAGCATGTACTTCCTTTCTGGTGAACATACGCCCCTAGACACTGCTCAACAATTTTGACTTTTTGCTCATATGGGCTCCAAGCTTCAATTTTTTACTCAACAGCTTATGTGGTCCTTGGCCAGCCGCAGCTCTATTGCAAGAACTTAAGAGTAATTAGTACACAGCACAAATTGCTGTGCAGCCGTGAACCAAGTCAGATTATGCAAGTTAACTAGTTGCTTTACATTGTCCTTCACAGCAACGTACATAACACATCAACTAGTTTTGTCTATACTTAATATAAAACTAAACACTAACTTTAATCCAGTTGCAGGAGTTATCTACAGAGAAATGTTATTTGTAAAACTCCATAAAATCAGTTTTTGTCCCTGAAAAGTTACACTGATGAAAGGAATAAATTCATCTTTGAATTAAACACTTCTAACAGACCTTTAAGCTGTAGGGAGCAGCAGAGCTAAAATTATCCCACAGATTCCTTCCTAGAGAGTACATTATATCAGCTGCTTCCCCCAAGACCTACAGTGCTACAGACAAGTACACTTGAGTTATCACAAGCAAGAACTGCTCAGAGGGTCCCAATACATATAAGATTTCACCCAGCAGTCATAGCACCAATTACAATGACAGTCTAAAAGCTAGCAAACACTCCAGTACCACAGGACTTTGAATGCTACTGTCCAAATGCTATGAGTCTTATTCTGTGTCACACAGTGACTAGAAAGAATACAAGTGGATGGTTCTCTAGGATGAGATTATTTTCATAAGCACATACATTTCTCAGGTTAAAAGCAGTCCAGATAGCTAAAAATAAGTAGAGAATTCATCCTATTAAAGATCCTTCTCTATCTGGTAGAGCAGTGCAATCTTTTGTCAAAAAAGGCAGCCCTTCTGGAAAAGCCTAGAAGTCTTTCACAAGACTTACTGAAATTTCAGTCAGTATCTTTAAAGTCTACATGTCTGAGGTTCAACATCAGCCTGGTGTTAAAAACACCTAACATTTTTGTTGGCAGGTGCTCTGTTCATGTTAAGTTAAATGTATTTTAAATACTTTTCTAATACACCATCCACGATGTAATACAACATGCTTAACTGACCTAGATGCCAAGGTTTTTTACAAACAAAAGTTTTAAGAGGAAGCTCAGGCTGTGTGGCAGGAAAGATGCTATCCTACACGCCCCAACAAGCCACTGCCATTCTAGGCCACTACCGACCAGACCCTTTCAGTGATCCTGACCAGAAGACCATCAGACATCAAGGAACGAAGTGATCCCCACAGCCCGAGTACACTCAAACTGTGCTGCACAGACAGCTTTGCCTTCCTGCCTGTGTTGTGTTCTGCATAACCTTGGGCTGCAGAATAAACTTCAGCAGCTGGCTGTACCTTGCAGGCAGCTCCCACTTGGTACTGCAGATTATACCACCCCCATGTCCTTGTCTTTATCCAAAAGTACAGAAGGAAGTTCTCGTGTGAATATCCCTTTTGTTTGGCAGTAGAATCAAACAGCTTGAATACATAAAATAGGATAACATTTCCACGAATGGATGCCTGCTAGAGGCTTCCAGTATCTGAAAGGACATTAAATTATCTATACTATTGTCTTCTGTACAGTGGTAGCTCTAATAAATAGCATTTTAAATGATACTTTGTGAACTCCAAGTGTCTCTCTTACTGGGGTCACAGGAAGCCAGCACCTACTAATGCAAAACAACTCACCTTTTAAAGGAGACTTCTACTAAGCTGACGTAGAGATACTCACATACCGTTTGTTTCCCAATATCCACAAGCTGGGTTGTGCCTCCCAGTCGCTCGATATCCTGCGCAGCAACCTCCATCATGCGTCTGATTTCAGCCCTCTTCTCCGGCCATGCTGACACGCTCTGAATGGCCACCCACTGCGCCAGCCGCTACAGAAAGACAGAAAAGCTAAAGCTTTTACTACACGTGAATTATGGTGTGGGAGGCACAATACAAAGACAATTCCTTGCAATTCACCAAATATAGTTTTAGTCAAGCTTAAACTTGAGGCAAGTCAGCTCTGTCCTCTGCTCAAAGGAGTACTCTTAGCCATTAATATTACACTCAAGAGCTCTCCAAAATCTCACTTTCCTACAGTTGCCTCTGCTGTATAGCGCAAAGTCTACACATACATAACGTAAGCTCAAGGGTATGACAGCTTGTGCATGTTGTGCCTTTCATGGATGCTTAGAGAATGGCAACCAAACAAGCTAATGTCTTCTCGGAAAGGCTGCCTTCACTTCCCCCCTCCAT